CTCTCTCTCTCTCTCTCTCTCTCTCTGCATAAATACTGATACTGTACTACAGTGATAGTGTACTTTTGTAGCAAAAAGTTTGGCTTTCTAAGACATACGTGTATCTATTTTGCAAGATTTAAACATTCAATCTGCACAACAGTGATGTAAAAGTTGCCTTCTCCATCGTGCCTTTTATTTTAAGACAGCAAATAAATCACAAATTGCGATGCAGGAGAAAAGTTCGGCTAAATGTTTTGTCTCATGTGTGTGTTTGTGTGTCAGGTCGGATGCAGAAGCTGACACCAGTGCCAACGAGGACCACCTTGTGAGGGACGCAGAATGTTCTCTAGGCATCGTGCCACACCAGGTCAGTGAGGGTTCTTGCTGGGTGGTTGGAGGGTGCTCTGCTGTGGTTTGCTCCTTCTTTCCTATCAAACATCTATTGTCCTTATCTCTCCTCCTTCTATTTTGTTTGTTACTCCCTTGTAACACCTCTAATCTTTGGCATTTATATGACCTTATTGTATTGTAAGTGCAGTAAAACTCTTTTGGTGGGTGGTTGGCGGGTGCTCTGGTGTGGTTTGCTCCTTCTTTCCTATCAAACATCTATTGTCCTTATCTCTCCTCCTTTTTTTTGTGTTTGTTACTCCCTTGTAATACCTTTAATCTTCTGCACTTCTATGACCTTATTGTGTTGCAAGTGCCGTAAAACTCTTACGAAGACGAAAACGACGGTTCTTGTCAGAGGTGCCAATTTACCAGAGAGATAGAGATTTTCTAAATTGTCCTGATTTTGTATTTTATGTAAAAACAGTATTGATGATATAAGATGTTGCGGCGCTGCCTCAGTGCTTTCTTGTCGTATCTCCATTTTTAATAACTGTGAAGACAGTTCATAACAAAGAGTAGGCTTAAGAAGAAGTCACATTTTCACTGTTTAAATAAATGGATTACTACAACAAGAAAGAACTGATGTCGCGATGTATTATACAATGTGATCCATCAACCTTGAATCCTAGCAAGTGTGTTTCCATGTGATCTGAAAAGTTGAGGAGTTTTTGTGATGCCATGTGGGACCTATGTTTAGTGTCTCTCACTCTGTTCATCTGAGTAGATCTGTGTTTACTGATTGATGGCCTGTTTCAAGAAACTGCACCCCCCCCCCCCCCCCCCCCCCGGCCAGTGCTACTGACTGAAGTTGCCTTTAGGCCATTCCGAAATGGGGGATATTAGCATGTTCTTTTGCACAGTAGAATTGTAAATTGGCTGATTTATCAATGTCATGCTCATACTGTGCCGAAACAACATACAGGGAACTGCAGCAAGAAATATCTGTGGCATCAGAAGTCTAGTGGTTAGGGTTAGTTCTCGGAATCACAATTGTAAAGCTGTATTCACATCCCAGTTTGTGCCTGACAAAGGGTATTTGGGAAAGGTTTTTTTTTCGTACTCCAATTTTCCTCACTGCAACACAGTGGGAATGTGTACGTGGTCGAGACTAGACCATGGTTCATTCTCTGGCTCTTCACAGATCCGAGGTTTCCTGGCGAGATTCCATCAGATTCTGCCTGCCAGCCGGGCGTTTGACATGTGTACAGCCTGCAGTGATGTGGTAAGTACAAAATGCTTTGGAACACCCTCCAGATATGTGTCACGGCGTGATGGAATCTGGCGCTCGTCAATTTTTGGGCATAAGGAGTTATTGGTAACATCTTTAAGCTTGTTCATTTGTCTTGTATTTGGTGGAAAAAAATACCCATCGAACTTGAAAAGAAGTTGAGATATTTGCACTTGAAGGAGGTGGAGTAGTCTGGTTTCAGAGGTCAAATTAGTGAGAAAATGACCGCCAAAGTTTGGTCTCTTCCATGTCTTGAGAGTTTTTAGAAACAGAAAATGTTCTTTTTTTTAAAAATGCCTTTAATCGACATTTTCAGTGATTTCCACCCGCAAATATCTTTTTAAATGGACATAAAAGGTGTTGAGCCAAAAAACAAAAATTCGATAGAAATTTCCAAACAGGAGGAAAAGTGACAGTTTCTTCGATTTCATCATTTTGACGAGCACCTATTTTCACCATGATGCCTCACATAAGCTTTGGAAAAGCTCCAGATATGTATTTTAGATTGACAGAAAAAGACGGGTTTTTTTCAGGATTCTTTATTGTAGATTATGGAAGCAAATTTTATGAGCAAAGTGAGCATTGTTTTAAGTATGGTATAGATTTTATGCCCCTTTAAAATGAAGGTTATTTAAAATGTGAGAACATTTTCAATATGATTTAGGGGGCTCTCGTGGCCTAGAGGTTAAGGTGTTGGCCTCTCATTCGAAGGTCCTGAGTTCGAATCTGGGTAGCGACCAAAAATGTGTCTTCTCTAAAATTGTCTCCTTTCACCTTCTTTCCTGCTCTCTAGCAATGTTCTGTTGTCTGCTTTTATTTCCACTTTCTGCCCCCACCCCCTCACCTCCTTTGCCCCCTCCTCTGGGCTCCTGACTCTTTCTGCAGTCTTTCTACTACTACTTCTTGGCTCTTCCTTACTACTGTCTTTCTGCCACACCCCTGATCTTCTGGTAGGAAAGATCTACACCTAGCCTTCTCGGAAAAGGGCGAAAAATCTCAGAGGGCCCGTGTGCAAGTTGCGCACGTTAAAGATTCCTTGGTGGTCTAAAATCGATAAGAGTAGGTTTCGGCCGCCACCCGGGTAAAATTCAAAATTTCCTACCAACTGAAAATATTAGGTGTGTCCCGCGCGCTCGTATGACCTTATGCAGTTGCGAGCGCCGTAAAACATTTTACAAAAAAAATAAATAAATGATTTAGCCTAATGGGTGGAGAGCGTTGATAATTCCCCGAATTCTCCCCGTTCAAGAACTTCTGTTCAGGATTTGAATCTTCTGTAACTGTGCTATAGGCATAGTGTCATAACGCGATGGAATCAGGCACTCGTCTATGTATAGGTATGTAGAATTATTGGTATCGTCTGATAGCTGATTTATTCGCCTTGCTTTCAATTAAATAAATATCCTTTTGTCTTGAATAGAATTCAAGATATTTGCGATTGAAAGAAGTGAGGTCGCCTGGATTCAGTGGTGGAAAATGGCCTCCAAAGTTTGGTAACTCCAATAGCTAAAGGAGTTGAAAGAAGACAATTTTAGAGAACAAAAATTTCCGTTGTTATCCCGATTCATATTTTAGGGGAAAGCCAAAGAAACTGGGTGATAAACATCGCCAATCGGCGAGATGAGGCGGCAAAGTGTAGGAACAAAAATCAAAGAAAGGTGGGGTTTGGGTTAACTCAGCAATATTTCAAACAAAAATAGAATATTTGAGTGAAGTTACTATGAATTAAGTCGACAGGACTATTTTTATGCCAAGTGAATACGTTTTCATGTATTGTTGCTTGAAATGAGTTTATAAATCTGTTTTATTTCAGGTTCTAAACAAGTATAAGACAGAAGGGTTTGACTTCCTGCTACGAGCTTTTAACGAGCCAGGTTTTCTGGAGGACCTGACAGGACTTACGGCCATGCAAGACGCCACGGACGATGCAGAGGTGAGGTTTTTAAAAATTTTGGGGGGGTTTTTTGTTAGAGTAAAGTGAAGCACATCGACGCGCACAATACTGCTGTCAATAATATTTCTAAAGCGCATAGAGCAAGCTCTTGAGCATGGATATGCGCTATATAAATGCAATTATTAATTATTATTATTAATTATAATTAAAAGTACAGTAAAGTTGTTCCCGCATCCGATCCGAACATTGGGGATTGCCTTGTTTAGTGACACAACTTCCTGAGCCTTTGGCATATTATTGTGGTAGGGTGGCCAGTAGCTTTCCACGCCGCCTTTACTTCCCCAACTGTAAGTCAGGCTCCCATTACTGCTGGGTGGGCAGGAGGGGGCAAAAAAAATTTGTGTCCGAACCAAGGCTCAAACCCAGCCTTTCCGCTTTGGAGACGAGCGCACTAACGCTGCGCCACAAAAGTAGAGTATATGCAGTTTTGAAGATTTTACAGGAGAGCCAGAAACAAACCTGAGCGTTGTTTCCAAGAAAACAACATTTGCTTAATAATAATAAGGAAACTTTTCAAAATTCTATTCTTTAAAAATTGATGTATAATGTTTGCAGAGAGTTTTTCTTTTTAACAACATTCTGGGGGGGTGGCTCTCCTGTAAATTTGGAAAAACATCATATATTTTTTTAATGGCATTTTTCCTCTGGTTTGGCAATTTAAAAATAAATTTGCTTTTTGGCTGGGTGCCTTTTTTGTCTATTTAGAAACACTTATGTGTGGATTTTACCAAAGAAAAGGTTGATTAAAGGCCCCAAAAAATGTAAATTTTCAATACTGATGTCTTTGTGTTATTATTAGTAGTAGTATTATTGTTAGTATTATTATCATTATCATTACTGGTAGTAGTAGTAGTAGTAGTAGTAGTAGTAGTAGTAGTATCATTATAATTATTGTTATTCTTCTTCTTCATCTTCTTCTTTTTCTTGTTCTTGTTCTTCTTCTTATTATTATCATTATTAGTAGTATTATTATTTGTTTAATTATCATTATTTTTATTTTTATCGTTATCATCATAATTGTTATTATTATTATAATTCACCATGTGTTTTGTCCAGGTGTGGGGTCTCAGTGACGACGAGGAATTCAGCAGTGGGCCAGGAAGTATGGACATGGACACGTGAAAGTGGCACAGGGTGGAGGGTTCGATTCCAGTGGAGGAAAGAGGGTGCTGCTGCTGGCCATGAGTCATGAGGAATTGTGTTTTTATCATAATTTGTGTCACGACGCAGTGAAATCAGGCTCTCGTCAATTTTTGGGCGAGTAGATCCAGAGATATTGGTATCAGTCGAAAGTTTGTTCTTTTGTCTTGCTTTTGATGGAAAAAAATATCCATATATCTTGAATACAGGTCGAGATATTTGTGAATGAAGAAGGTGGGGGTCGCCTGGTTTAGTTTAGTTTAGTTTAGTTTTCCGATCCAGCGGCCATTTGGGTTCTAGCCCTTCGGTCTGTCGATATGGCAAAGAATTGACAGGTTTTAATCAGCTGTGCTTTGTCGCTGTCGCCTGGTTTCAGAAGAGAATTTAGTGAGCGTGAGAGTTTCGTGGAAACTGAACAAATATGTTGTGCCTATAATCAACATTTTTCCGTAAAATCCTAACAGAAATGTTGTTAATGGGTATGAAAGGTATTGAGCCATAAAACGAAAATTCGATAAACATCCACAAATCTGTGAAGAAATGCCTGTTTTATCACTTTGATTATCTTGACGAGTGCCTGATTTCGCCACGCTGCCTCACATTTGAGTCATTTTTAGGAGCTGGTGGGTGTGCTTCTTCGTTTTTTTGTTGTTGTTTTTTTGTTTTAATGCTCTGTTTACTCTTTGCTCCCTGCTCTATATTGTAGTAATATACTGGAATGTGATTTAAGTCGCTGATTATAGGAAGCAGAGTGTTAAATGTGCTCAACTTATCCTGAGTTATGCTCACACGTGTGTGCCAGGAAATAATGAAGTATGCTTCTTTTCTTTTACTAATTTATACCATTATGGTTGATTTTTGTACTTTTTGCACCTACAGTCTGTGTATTTTGACATTATCCCTGCTTATTTATTTGTGTTTATGTTGAAGTTTCCTTACACAATGGTGGTTTAAAACTTTGAATTTGTTTTGTGGGTTGTAGTGTTGTAGCTTTTTTTGTGCTTTCTTTGACGAGTTTTTTGGTTGTGAGTCTGTGCCGCTCTCAATTTGCTCAAGAATCAGATATTTCAGAGCCAGCAAAATGTGACTGAGATGAGCAGACCATTGTTCTATCTACCTCTGCTTGTAGAATTGTAAACGGGCTGATTTATCAATGTCATGCTCTTACTGTGCTGGAGCAACATAGGGGGAACTGCTGCTTTTTCTTTCCTCATTCTTACTATCTTCATTTTCCTCTACTTCTTTTGTATGTTTGTCACTCTCCTGTGGACTGCTATTTCTGGGGTGCCTTTATAGTAGACTTTGTGCTGTTGAGGCTAGAGAGGTGAGCACAGTAAGCCTGATTCCCCATTTGGACTTCTCTGTTGACATCGACCCCTTGGCACTCATATGACCTTATGCAGTTGCGAGCGCCGTAAAACCTTACTAAAACAAACAAACAGCCTTGCAGCATAGTAGGCACATACTGCTTTCTTTCACATATTGTACAGAATGTCTGCATGCAATTTGGACGACTTGGGATCACTGTCGTCTTAGCACCAAGTTGTGGGTGGTTGGCGGGCGCTCTGGTGTGGTTTGCTTCTTCTTTCCTATGAAACATTTATCGTCCTTATCTCCCCTTCTTCTTTTTTATGTTTGTTACTCTCTTGTAACACCTCTAATCTTCTGGCGTTCATATGACCATATGAAGTTGCGAGCGCCGTAAAACCTCTACTAAAACTAAAAAGCCCCAAGTTGTTGCGGTGTTAAGAAAAGTTTCCCCTTTGTCTGAACAGTAGAAAATGTTGAGTGGTCTTTCTCAGACGTCAGTTGTGTTTGTTTTGTCTTGATGCTAGTCATTCAGTTCCCGTGTATGCAAGAGTATGACAGTCTGTTTCTCTCAGTCTGTGGATTCACTCTGTCTGTGGATTCACTCTCTCTGTGGATTCACTCTGTCTGTGGATTCACTCTGTCTGTGGATTCACTCTGTCTGTGGATTCACTCTGTCTGTGGATTCACTCTGTCTGTGGATTCACTCTGTGGATTCGTTCCGGCTAGTGTTCATGAATGAGAAGGGAGAATCAAAACAATTTTTTTAAAATAGTAACAGACAGTTTTTTAAATAAATAGTAAAATAAAGATGATGAAATTATACTCGGGTATAGAAGTATTTATGAGCGAGTGAAAGGGTGAAGCTGTAGAATATGAAAGAAAGAAAGAAAGAAAGAAAGAGAGAGAGAGAGAGAGAGAGATACCTGCATATGTGAAATCTTAAGTAAATGTTATGTTCATAACACACCCCTTTCATCAACTTTGGTTATTCATGTAGTGTCCCTTGTTTTATTGCTTGCTTGTTATAGACAAAGACTGTTTCAGAAAGCAATGAGAACTCATTGTATGAATTTTTGATAAATTCTGGGGATTGAACCTGAGTCCTCCAGATGCACGACACAACACTGATCCCCCCCCCCCCCCTCCCCCCCCCCCACCCCCAAAAAAAGTTTAAATAAATAAATAAATAAAACATTTATTGTACTAAGATTAATTTCTTTTTTACAGATATTTGAAATGTCATATGGGCTGACTGAGAGAATACTTGTTGATCATTCTCTAACTCTTTGCGTTCACTTGGCGCAAATTGGCTGGTGAAAATTATCCATTCTGGTCACCTGGCGCCGCGAAGTCCGATGCAGTCGCTCTCCTGGCTTGGTGACCAGATTGGGTATTTTGTACTGCTGGCTGTGTGACTGCAAAGTGTTATTGTGCTTGTGCAGTGTTGGAAAAGTCACACCGCTGTTTTTACCTCAGTGCTCTAGCTTGTGGATACACACAGGGTTTTTTGGGATTGTTGGGTGCCTACCCAGTCCTCACATGTGTTGTGGAACGAGAAGCATTTTTTCATGTAGTAGTTCCCAACTTTACTATTGATGGTATAAATGTTTTAATGTTTTGCAACATTCCAAACGTATCTTGCTGTTTTGTCCTAGGGCCTTGTATTGTAAAACTATAAGAGTAGTGAAGATTGCCGAGCCAGTTGATGCGTTATTTTGCTTTAAAAATCAGTCTGAAAAGAATGCAATATCCTAGACTAGAAGGAAGACCAATATACTCGATAAAAGTTCTCCCCACATGGGAATCAAACGTTGGTCTCCTGCGTGCAACAGCAAAACACCTCACCGCTACACCACAGATGCCAGTTGACTTTTTGTGTAGGGTAGAAAGCTTACTAAAGAGATAAGTGAGAATGTTAGTTTGTACTTAGTGTTAAAGTTAAAAGTCCATTTCCTTTGTTCTAAGCTACTGAAAAGGCAGCAGTCATTATTTTATTTTTATTTTAAGACCCTCATTTTCATGCTTTCTCTCTACTTTTGGCGCTCATATGACCTTATGCAGTTGCGAGCGCCGTAAAACCTCTACTAAAACTAAACTTTCTCTCTACTTTTGTATTTTGTCATTTTGTTCCCCAGCGCAATCAAGTCATTTCTTGTTGTTTGTAAGGAAAAGCTTGTTGCTTCCACGCCTGATTAGATCATAATATATGATAGTGGGTGGTTGGCGGGGACTCTGGTGTGGTTTGCTTCTTTTTTCCTATCAAACGTCTTTCGTCTTTATCGCCCCTCCTTTTTTGTGTTTTTTTACTCTCTTGTAACACCTCTAATCTTCGGCACTTATCTAATATGACCTTATTGTGTTGCAAGTGCCCAAAAAGACTTACTAAAACAATTCCACCCCTCACTAGATGTATATCAGAAACAAAGAGAGTATGGTGTGGATCTTACTGAGGCTGTTTTGCCATACTTTACCAAGTGGACATGACATGGCATTGAAATGTGGGGAATATTTCTTACTTGTATAGGAAAAATAGGAGTTTCTGACGGGTTTTCATTTTGTTTGTTTTTACATGTATATATTGCTTTCCTTGTATGAGGAGTATTTTAAGAATTAAGTGGCAGGATAGAATAAGAAATGAAGAGCTGTGGGAAAGGACAGGACAAAAGGATATAGAAGTAGAAATAAGACTAAGAAAGTGGTGATGGATGGGACACACCTTAAGAAAGCCCAGCGGAAACATCACAAGACAGTCACTGCAGTGGAACCCACAGGGAGCACGAGGCAGGGGTAGGCCACGGGAAACAAAGAGGAGATGCGTGGAAAGGGACATGAGAGAAATGAAGCTCACTTGGAACGAGCTTGGAAGGATGGCTCAGGACAGAGATAAATGGAAGGAGCTTGTATGTGGCCTATACCCTGCCAGGGGTGACAGGCATTGATGATTGATTGCTTTCCTGGTAACATTATTTTCCTCACTTTTCTTTCTCCTGTCTGCCATATTGAAAGAAATCTTGTAGGAATATTTTTGTCACGATAGGGTGGAGATGGAATCACGCGCTCGTCATGTTTTTGGGCTTGTAGAGTTATTTATACCATGTTAGTGCTTGTTCATTTGTCTTGCATTTGGCGGGTAAAGTACCTATCTATCTTAAATGAAAGTCGAGATATTTGCGATTACAGGAGCCGGGGTTCGCCTGGTGTGAGAGGTAAAATTAGCAAGAAAATGGTTGCCAAAGTTTGGTGATTTCCATAACTTGAGAGTCCTTAGAAACTGCAAATAAAAAATTTTTTGTGCCTTAAATCAGCATTTTTCAGTAAAATTCACTTTGTTTTTGGAGTTGAGTTGAAAAAAAAAAAATCTATATGAATTGCCAAACGGACAGAAAAATGCCAGTTTCATTGATTTCATTATTTTGACTTTTGACGAGTGCTGGATTTCACCACGATGCCCCACATTTAGTGTTTTGTTTTACGTGTATATTACTGTCCTCATAACATTATTTTCCTGACTTTTCTTTCGTATGTTTGACATCGTGCTTTAAATTGAAAATCTTTTTGGAATATTTTTGTTTATGTGCCATGGGGGCATGAAACCATGACACGGGCTAAAACTTTATCAGCTAGAGAAAAAAGTCGCAAGCACTCCATACAGGAAATTGTCTAGTTGTTACATGAGGAGTCTTATTCCCACCAGATTTCTGTTTCTGTCTAGCAGAGAAGACCCGACCTGTCAGTCTTGCTTACTATAATCCGCGGCAGGCTTTTATATCAGTTGTACATTTTACCGTTTCCTCTACTTATATGTTGTTGCAATAAATTATTTTAACGTGTCAGTGTGTGTTGATTTGATTCTTCTCCCCCCACTCGGGTTAAGGG